ACATTACATACGTGACGACCAAATAGCAGCGATTGGTTAAATGATAAAAAATACCCGCCTACCGTTGAGCGAACAAATTCTAATACCGCGAGGTCAGATGGTGTATAACTAATTACCCTCCTATGGTAAAAATGCAGTTTAACGTGTGTAAGATGTGTAATAGTGATGTAACAATAACCAAAATACTGTGGTATCATATCGTCAAAAGTCTCACAATAATATCGTGGGCTGTCACAATATATAGAATTACAAGTTCCTTTGCTTAAATGCATGGTTTTATAGTAGCAACAGCTTATAAACATCAGGAACTACATATCCCATGATTCATTCCAGAGCAAACAACATGAAGAAATTTGTTTTTTACTAGAATTCTTGGGATTATGATGGAAATAATTCATACCAAAATCTTGTGAATGTATTCTAAAAGCAAAAACGTGTCCTATCTACAATTATATTAGGCTTTCCAAAATATCGCAGTAAATATCATATCGTGAGATGCATATCGTGATAATATTGTACCAAGAGATTTGGATATCATCCCTCATGAGTTACTAATGCAGTAGTGTGGAACATTCCAGACAAAGCAGTACATCTTCATGACAAGACATAACGGTGAAGGACGTCCCACAAGTTTGTTTGTGTTGACCTTTTACACAGAAATTGTCAGTGAAAGTATTCTCTTTGTTGTTTTACTCAATAAAAAAAAATCAAAAAGCGCTTATTTGTTTTCAATCATGTTTTTCTATCATAGCCGAGAGCAAATTATCACATTAAAGGGCGTTTGAAATGTCCTTAGGTGTAAAGTTTCGGGGGGCTGTCGAAATAAAGCGATAGAAACGTAAATAAACTGTAGCACAAGCAGAGACGTACCATTACCTGAAAACTCACCTGCATTTTTCACAGCGGGCCTCTTTTAACCAATCTCAGTTTTTTCCTCAACAGAATTGCTCTTTGATGTTTCTCCTGTTGTGTGGGGCTTTGTTGCAGGTGGACAGCCCATCTTTGTACGATGCTAGCAGGGTACCTCGGCTCCACAAACCTCTCCAACCACCATTTTCATGCTTTCAAGCTTTCATCTCATTTGTGGGCCGAGGAAGTGTCACGCTGGTATGGAGTGGTGTGTTGTTTTGTTATAACGGACAGTCTCAGCTTGGCTTCCTCCGCGGGGGGTTCAAGCACCTTGCCAGTTGTAGGAAAACGGGACGCTGTTAATAAGACATTGCCTGCCCATTGGTTTAACCCATAGTATGTGGAATTAGATGTTACAGCACAAGCAAATCACTGCCAGGGGTAAAAACAATTCACTCTATAGGGGATCGTCAACTCCTCAGGGATTCTTGCGCCCCCCGCTGGTCTGAGAGGATCAAAGACGTGCCAAAGAAAGAGGCAAATTTGTCCGATTCCGAGATAAGTAAATCCTGCCATTCATAGGCAAAAGAGGAAACACGCTTTAGCTTATTGACTTAATGGGCTAAAGGATAATTACAATAGCTCTTGAGTGAGGTTTTAGATTAATTAAACTGATCCATTTGCTCAGCTTTTAATGAAAATACTTTAATGATGTAATTTTAAGATGTAATAGTAGCCGCGAGAGAAGAGAATAATCTTTTCTAATACAAACTTCCCAGTCAAATAATGGATGAAGACATTGCTCAAATTTCAAAATATTGCTTACAAAATAAATATTGGCTAACGTTTTATAATCACAACACTGTAAAGTAAACAATCACTTAATTAATAATGAGCAAATAGTTTAATAAGTGATTCAGGCCTAGTACTCTAACTCTTAACCCCTTAGTACCCTAACTCTCAACCCCCTAAGGTACTACAAACACAACTGAACATAGGTTGCCAGTGCCTTAACCTGCACATTTCAGTATATGGACAGTGTTATAAAAGTAACGAATTACTGTAATGCATTGCTTTTTGCTGTAACGCAGTAATGTGGCATTACAGGGAAAAAAAGTAACATTTTACTCGGTACAAACACGCGTTACAGTGCATTTTTAACCTGAGTTGAAGTGGTGGGTTTTTCTTCATACAAATTCGCTAAAATTACCGCGATATCAGCAGCGATGAAACACCAGAGATGCGCCCGCGTAGACCGTCAGGCGACCGCGAGCGAAAGGACCGGCGCAGAACTCCGCGCTCCACGGGGCTAAACACAGCTGATGCCCGATTGCGCCTTGTAGACATCCTGTTCCACGGACTCGGGGTACTCTCAGGGGCGGTCCTACATTCCAAGTTCTAGTCCAAGATTATTCCTGGTTTGGTCCTGGTTTAGTCCTGGTTTAGTCCTGGTTCAGTTCTGGTTTAGACCTGGTTCAGTCCTGGTTCAGCTGTGGTTTAGTCCTAGTTTAGTCCTGGTTTAGACCTAGTTTAGACCTAATTTAGTCCTGGTTTAGTCCTCGGTTCAGTTCCTGGTTTAGACCTAGTTTAGACCTAGTTTAGTCCTGGTTTAGTTCTTGGTTCAGTCCTGGTTTAGACCTGGTTTAATCCTGGTTCAGTTCTGGTTTAGTTCTGGTTTAGTCCTGGTTCAGTTCTGGTTTAGTCCTGGTTCAGTTCTGGTTTAGACCTAGTTTAGTCCTGGTTTAGTTCTTGGTTCAGTCCTGGTTTAGACCTAGCTTTGTCCTGGTTCAGTCCTGGTTTAGTCCTGGTTTAGTCCTGGTTCAGTTCATATACGGCGCAAAAGTTCAGCATCTTCACAGTTATTTTGGTGAGAGTAACTTAAATGTGCTGCAATAGTCATGTCATTTCTTACATTTTAAACACAGTAATATTGTAATGTAACTAATTACTTTGAAATGACAGTAACAGGTAATAAATAATGCAAAACAGTTTTAAAGTAACTTGCCCAACAGTGTACATGGAGCTGCAGAGTTTGCACTAGCACTGATTAATAATTGGCTGCAGGACATACTGGGCTTTAGGTAGTGAGGATTCAGATGAGGAAGAGGCATTTTAGATTTAAACCATCTGGATTTCAACATTGAAACTGACAACCCAAATTAAAAACTCGAGGCTTAGTGCGCTGTCTGTTAGTTAATCGTCTTGACAGCCAAAACAAATTATAACATGAATAAATGTCTGATGTTTTTGTAACTAAGGATAATGTAATTAGTAAAAGCTACGTTTAATTTAAACATGTCAACAACTCACCTTTATGTAACAGATAATACTCCCTACAACTGTACAACAACTCACCCTGATGTAACAGATATAGCTGAGATTTTTTATTTTATTACTTATCCTTCTGTTTTATTTTGACTCGTACATTTACACTTATTTGCCATATTTGACAACTGTATCTTGCTCTTTTTTGCTGCTTATTTAGAATTTATTATTACCATTTATATTTTGAGTGAGCTACTGTATCCAGATAATTTCCCTTGTGGATCAATAAAGTTTTCCTAAGTCAAATTTTAAGTCTAACTCATATCTGGGGACACATACAGGGCAAATTTATTAAGTTTATAATAAAAAAATACATATACATACAGTTTCTTTCAGTAGATACTAAGCCTGAATAATTATTAATAAACTATTAGGTCAGGGGTGGGCAAACTACGGCCCGGGGTCCATGTGCTTCCCTTTAACCTTTTAAATCTGGCCCGCCAAACTTGAATAATAATCATAATAATAAGAATAATGATAATAATAATAATAATTTTCTGTGTTTTAAAAGTAATTTCAATAAATAGTAAATACCATGGGACTTGAAAGGCAGATATTTTGTTATGTTATGTTTTGTTTGTAATGCTTTGAAATGATTTTCAATTATAGAATATTTCAATAACATGAGATATGTTTTCTATATATCCCATGTTATTTTTTTCTCTTATGAGGTGGAATCACCAAAAAACTCCATCCATCTGCTCCTGGTCCGGCCCTTCAGTTAGATTTTAAAACCCTTTGTGGCCCACGAGTCAAAAAGTTTGCCCACCCCTGTATTAGGTCATTGTTCAGTCTTTATTAAGGTGTATTTATTATGAAGTAGCAGCAAATATTCTAATGAAAGAATCAAATTCACTTTCACTAACCAACACTTACTGGATCCTCTGAACTTTGAGCCAACACAAACCCAGTAAATTGGATCCAATTTTTTTCCACTAACAGCTATACATGGTTTACGTTTCCTTGTCGCATTGTCGTACCTTCCCTTAGGTGTTTCTTGCCAGGAGCTTAAAAGGTGACAAACTCCTCTCCGGCTCCAGTACCTACCGTTCTGACGATTGCCAACACAAAACAGATGCTTTGGACAATGACGGTAATCACTCGTCAAAGAGAGTGACCTGACCAGGAGTGAACAAAAGCTTCCCAGTGGAGTCCCATGTGGTTTGAATGGGGCACTGGTCCGCTGTAGGATTGCATCAGAGGTCTCCTAAGCCCCCTTTTGTACAAGCCAGTCCACCTCTTTCTCACCAGCAGGTTGTTTTTCTTGTTCTCTCATTAATTAAAGTCCTAACCCCAAAATTAGGAGTTGGAGGAGAAGAGCGAATGCCACTTCTGACTGCACATTGACCCAAGAGTTGTGGATTTCAGTGCAGGTGTGTTTACGATCTTGGACGCTTTCAACAAAGTGTCAAGGCTTTGTTGGTTTGTTAATACATTTTGACCCATTCAGTCTGTGTTTCTGTTCAGTTCCCATAAACGTTTAACCATTGTTGCAATTTCATTTCTGACCAACAAAGCTGTTGAAATTATATACCACTACACCACCGGCGAGCACTTAGAAAAGAAGAATGTTCCAGAATATTTATTGTTAAAGATGAATGAGGCAGACTCCAAATGGGATTCTATTGTTACATATTCACGTTAAAAGCACAAGACTTTTTGTTGTTGAACATTTTTGATGACTAAGAAATATGAATAAATGTATTAAAAAAAAGTTTTTCAAATGTATTCGGCCACAGTAAACAAGTGAACACTAATGCGTTTCGCTTGAAGACTTCCTCAATATACAAGCGGTATTGTATTTCTAATAGCATGTTTTGTTGCAGGGATGTGATTGACATACAGTAGATGGAGAACAAAATCCAAAGAGAACTTGGACAGGTAAGTTTTAAGGCCCTGAGAGACTTGTGGGTATATGTATGTACAGTATATGATTTGGTACGACTATTAACCTTAAATCTCTAGCAGAGGTCGTTATTTTGTTTGGGTCAACCAGTTGCCCAAGTATTATGAACAAAACTTTCAGCACTTGAGCACTTTTGTGTGAAAAGGACACGACACAAAATGTGACTGGACACCTCTTGTGTACAGTTTGTAGTAATACAGGGTTGTGCAAGAGTTTGTAGTGAATTCAAATGATCAAGTTCAGTGAAAATAAATTTGGCTCAACATATCAGCTCTGGATTCTAAACAATCGCTATTGGCATCACCCTTGAAAAAACCCATATCGCTCGATCGTTACTTTGAACATTTATTAGCTGTTCTGTCAGAATTTTCTTGGAAACATTTTTATCTGTGGAGCCAGCATCTTTGACAAAATATGTCTGGCCATGAGACCAGATTAAAATATTAATTCTTGGTTATTTGTTTCCAATCATACCAAGAAAAGTCACAGTCTCCCTCATGCAATTCAACTGCCACTGGTGTGTATTCTAAGCAGCACCTCGAATAAACATAGTACACTTCAATAAAACTTCATCTTTTGTTTGATCAAATATAAAGCGCTTCGATAACAGTCCATAATATTTATTGTTAAAGATGAGTGAAGGAGACATCATAGGAGCTTTCCACAACAAATCCTCTTTTATCTGAGAGTTGTGAAGTCCTTAAACAGTGTTAGGACTTCAGACTTTCTCACACTCTCTGAAGCCTCTGAGAAGTCTAAACCCAACGATGACGGCGATAAGATGTTTTTGCGATCCGCTGCGTCAAAATCTGATAACTTCACCTTCATCTGTGAACTCAAGGTTGCAGTTCTCAGAATCTAAAACCCGCACCAATGATGGGACTGCAGTTGTACAATTATAAAACACCTAAACTTATCTGTAAGGATAGGACAGATCTTCAAAACGTTTCCCACCAAAAAAGACTTCCACCCTCCTTCTTTTTTGAGGGTGTTTTTGAAAATGTCCTTTGTACTCACCTGTGGTCAGTACTTTTTTGTATTTTGTATTTGTCGTTTATCTAGGCTGGATCTGCAGCAGCCAGCATTTCGCAGTCCATTGCTGTGAATAGACTGTACTGACTATTGTTATCTGTTTTCCCCAAGGCTTTGAACCATGCACAGGTGTCACTCCTTGTAGTTGTGGTGGATTTGGTGCCAAATATGGTAAATTTTGCATGAAGGAAAGAGTCCAAAGATTTCATTTGTTGTCTGAAAATATGAAAAAATAAGGATTTTTGTGAAATTATATTATTTTAAAAGTACACTCTCATCTTGGCTCCTTGGTGATGTTTTTTTTGCCTGGAATTTTTCAAGCTATTGATATTTGCAGTGACATTACGCTGAGGGTGCTCTATGTGCATCTTTAATGTTCAGAAATTACCATGAAGACACAATGAACACATGAGCAATAACTACCAAAAACGCTTTGGGACTGTCTCAAGAAAAATGGAAAAATGGATTTAAGCAACACATTTTCAGGAGCCTTTGACAAATACAAGTGTTCGTGGTTTAGGTGTTCGATTTTCAACAAGAAGATCAGAGTGACAAAGTGAAAAACTGGCAGCTAGCTTTTGACTGAAATGTTATTTGAGAGGGACATCAGTACAAATGTCAGTATGGGAAAAAAACTTACAGTACCTATCTCCATAGCTCGCTGTGGAACATTCCAGACAAAACAACAATATCTTCATGAGACTAGCAGACCTTGCATCACAAAAATTACATAGTGCACCTTTAAGATTTAACATAATATTAGTGATTATCTGCTCTGCTTTAACAAATTGATGGTATGAGTGATAATGGAATTGTTATGAACTTCTTGTAAATGTTGGCCTTTTACCCGTCCCATTCTGCAGTTGTGTAATTTATACAGAAGGTAGAATAATTAATACAGTAGACCTTAAATTACCATAATTACAAAAATATGTATGTGTGATGTTTGATCCATGTATTATTCAACACTATTGCTCACATTATACTGAAAAGTTGTACGTTTCACATGAACCTTGCCTGTAGTTCAGATTCCACTGATGAAATCAATGAGTTGTGGAAAATCTGTTCCACTTGACAAGAAACATGACAATACACCCTTTATGTTTATCTTGGCCTACTGTTTACCTGTGCTTGAATTTCAAACATCTCACTGTTTTGACAACTAGCCAAGTACAGATTATGAATGACAAGCAGGAGATGTCAATCAAATATTACGCTTACAAAGCTTGATGCATTTCTGTCAGTAAATTACAGAATAGTTGGAGCCAGTTGCATGGTATGAATACAGTTATTAAAGGGTCTGTATGATGCAATTTTCTGATCTTACTGATACTGTTATAATGTTGTATCCTCATCAAAAATATACATGGAATTGTGTTTTGTTTCATTCACATGTTTCACACACAAACCATGCACATTTAGGCTATGTTCTTCTCTCAAACAGAAAACAGTCACTTGTGATATCATGTGACGACACAGGTGTTTTAAAACTCTATACAGATTCATTATAATTATTTGGATAAGTTCTGATAGTCTCTACTAAACAAAAGGTAAAATGTTAGCCAGGCTGGCGCCAACTAGTGCCTCCACTCAATGTCATTTCTCTCTAGTGACTAGGAATCAGGAATCAGAATACAAGAACCCTGCAAGTTGTAGACCGCGCACCGGCCAATCAGCGAAGAGCTGTGAAGCCATGATGTCAAACTCAAGAGCTTGTCTGGGTGCAGCACAACAGTAAACAAAGCGGTCGAGGTGGATGTAAACAAAGCCAGACATTCTGTGTTGGCCACGATTCCCAAGATCGATGATTTAAAGCCAGAACAAAGAGAATGCTTGGTGAATTTTATGAAGGGGAAAGACGTTTTTGCCCTTCTTCCTACGGGATTTGGCGCATTACATACGTCACGACCAAATAGCAGCGATTGGTTAAATAAAAAAAGTACCCGCCAACCATCAAGCAAACAAATCTTAATGCTGCGAGGTCAGATAGTTTCCACAAAGTGAAACCGTCTTATAAATCAGGCTAGTAAAATGTAGCTGTTAACTTGAAAACTACTGCTTCGTGACATCAGAAAGTGGTACAGAGTTTTTTGAGCTTTGGAGATGTAGCCAGACTAATAATAAATGGTTACTCAAACATGTGTGAATTAAACAAAACCCAACTCCATGGATGTTTTTGATGAAGTAATAACATCCTAACATATCTTAAAGCTCACAAGTCAATGTTGCGTAATATAGGACGTTTAATCATTGCAACCATTGTGTAATTCCTAGAAAATTCACTTCTATGGACTGATGTCAGTTGTCAGTGTCTATAAAATAATATCTGAATGCATTCAAACAAGTCAAACTATTGTCTCGAACATACTTGTGCACATTTGAGCACTATCCTAGATACTAGCTGTCTCTAAGTACTTGTGCATGTCTGCTGTTTCATGTTACCTGTAATCTGGACTGGCAGTGATTTGTTTGCAGATGTCAGTTGCTATCGGAGACAATGTTTAACAATATCCAAGCTGTTATTGTGCGAATGTGAAAGACTGCACCATTTTCCCATAACACTCTGCAAAGATGTACCGTACTGATGTCTCCTCCTGCTCTGCCTCATCAGATAGCAACACACCTACTTTCTACGCTCCACTGGCTTCTATTCATACAATGTACTTTTGTTCTTGGCATGTAGGCTGAAAAAAATACTGTGGCAACTAAGCTGTTATGACAAAGCTGATAGTGCGATTGTGAAAATATGCTTGGGAGTTAGTTTAGGCTGACGGTAATTGTCCATATACTAGGTGCAGTGTTGTACATACTAAGGTTTGGGTTGTCATTGGTCATCTGAACGTCTCACCCACACTTCACCCCTTTTCACCACCCACGCCGTGTCAAGAAAATAAAGGTTACATAAAAAATCACCCTATATGCCCTTTTTGTTTTGTTTTTTCAAAGCCTGCAGGCCAAAGAATAAATACATAAATCTTAAGGTGACTGGAACTGCAGGTGGAGCTAAACCAGGGCTAGAACAGAAATAAAAACCAAGTCTCCATCAGGACTTGACTGGATTCAAACCAAGCTGAACCAGAATAACCATCAATGTATCGTTATCCTTATTGAATCAACTATCTATAGCAAGGATCATCAAACTAAGGCCCACGGGCTGACTCCGGTCCGCCACGCCCCTTCGACGGCCCCCCCAGCCCCTCTGCCCCCCACCACTTGAACTGGCCCTATTAGTCAATCGTCAAAAGTTGTCATGGCCTATTTTTTTTTTATTACATTGTGGCAAATAATAACACGTCTGTATCTTGTATTTTGTTGATTTTTTTCAATTAAAATTTATATTTATATGAAGTATTTATATTTAAATAATGATATGACATATTTACATTTGACGCCGAATTTGTCGCCGAATTTTCTTCACCTGACAAGCTCAAGATCAACCATCGACAGTCAACGGGCAGAATTCTGTAGTGCGGTTAAGGACAGCAAAATGGCGAGTGTTAAAATACAAAAACTTGACAGAGAGTGCCAAGTTTTCAAAGACCAAGTGTATGACCGATTATTTTTTTTGTTCAGTGTTCAGCGTAAGGACCGTACAGTTTGTCTATAGATATGTAAAGAAAGTGTGGCGGTTTTCAAAGAATATAATTTGTGTCGTCAGTACGAAACCCACCACAAAGAGGAAAATCGAGAGATGATGGGATTTGGAAAACGAGAGACGATAGGATTTGGAAAATGAGAGACGATAGGATTTGGCGGATGAAAGGTGGACTGGCTTCTCAACAGCATGTATTCCTTCATCAGCCAACCCAACCCCGACCCCCATCACAGTCAGGAGTGATAATGTGACCCCCAGAGAAAAAAGTTTGGTGACCCCTGATCTATAGAAACATTTAGCTAGAGGGTTATATTTTTGCACATACTACTATAATACTTCAATATCGGAGAGTACTGACCTCAGCGAAGGCATGAGTCCAATGTTTACCCAGCTTCTGACATGGAAAAAAAATGCCATAACCATAATTGTGAATTGTTTGCCCATTTTTTATTGATATTGTTAACTAGATTTACAAGACATGATATAAAAATAATAAAAGAAGAAGGCACTGGACCTTTTACCTGAAATATTACACAGTACATCTTTAGTTATTACTTTTTAGAATATATTTTTCACAGTATGATTATGATTTGTATGCAGTATTTTCTGATTATGTTTTTGTTTGCTTCCAGAATACACGTCCCAACTTTCCCAGTAGCAGACTTCAGGTGTGCGTACGAGTGTGTGGAGGAGATCTGAAGACTCACAGGTGGGGAAAATCTCTACAGCAAACACTACATTACCCAGAAGCCTTTGCTAACAGGAGGACGACAGAGCACTTTGGTAAACAACTCTTTGGAGGTCTGATTGTTTGCTAATTTGTATGAAAGAAAAGCAAAGGGGAGTTGATTTCACAGGGGTCCTTGTTAATGAGCCTTTAATCTGAAAGTCATACTTACACTTCACAAGGTAATACTGATATGAAGTGCCTTTATTTAAAAAGACATCAAGCATTAAAATTCTGCTGAGCTGTGTCAAAGGATCTCTCTCATCTGATAATTAGTTACTGAATAACTTTTACAGAGAATATTTGCCAAATAAATGAAAACATAAAAAATATTTAAATTTTTCTGCAAATATTCCACTGATTACAGCAAGTCATTTCCCTGGATAATGAATGAATCTTATCTCTGTATTTTCTATACAGATGGATCAGTCTGGTCATGTCCTCCGTCGTATCTCAAGCCCGACCAAACATGATTGTGCAATCAGATACATTTTTCTGAGTAACGTGTGTGAAAGGAATGACCCCATTGGTCACCTATAATTCAAAAATAAAATTACATTTACTTCACCTCATAGCTATAATAATACATTAGTCTTATATTGTGCTTTTCCAGATGCTCAAAATCGTTTTATTTGCATTATACTTCCCTGGGGCAGACTGATGGAAGTGAAGCTGCCAATTTGTGCCATCAGTCTCTCGGTACAACACTCAAACACCCTCCACATTCGTTCTAGGCAATGTGGGTTAAGTGTCTTGCCCAAAGACACAGCAACAGTTTTTTGGCACGTGGAATTCAGTTTCTCTCCCAACCAGACCCAACCTTGAGATCTAGCAAGATCAGGCTTTGACAAAAAGGTTTCTCCATAATTAACAGCTGAACAGATTAAGAATTAGATTTAGAGGAGACCTGGGCATTGTACAGATTTCGGGCCACATACGACCCTTTGGTTGCCTCTGACCGGCCCGTTTATGCTCATTTGGAATTAAAAAATAAACATATTTTGTAATTTCATGGACGAACTAAAGCTGCATTGCTTTTATTTTAGAGGTGTTTTTTAAATGACATTTTTGTAAGGTAACCTCACTTTTTTATTGCTTAGTCATAACAAAACTCTTACCAGTCTTACCAACTTGTCAAATAATTTACAGTTTACTGTTTTTTAGAAAGAAATACAATTAATATTATGCAGGATTGAGTTAAGCTTTTTGGCCCGGCCCGCCACAATATTTTCAGTTTCTCATGTGGCCCCATGAAAAAAATAATTACCCACCCCTGAATTAGAGTTTAGTGCTTCACTCATTGATTCTGCCGAAATCCACAATGTTTTTCAGTCATGCATGGGAGACGTCTAAACCCTCTTCAGGCATGTTTTTGATGAGGGAACATTATAACATGGTAGAAAGCTCCAAAAAGTAAGTTCTGCACAATACCCCCTCTTTAAATGTTCACTTCTTTCACCTTTGAGTCTTAGGTTGCAACTTTGTAAGTGTATATAAGTAAAGAAGCAAGTTTGACAGAGAGGATATCCGAGACTAAGTGCTAAACTCCAGATTTTAACCTGTTTGGAGAAGGCCCTATTCACTGGCACCTGACCATGACCGAAGATCCTTATGTCCCCCATCCACAGACACACACTGGTCATTAGTGCACTTGAACGCAACACATTAAGGGCACTTGAACGCAACACACACGCTACCTGCATTTCCGTATCCACGCAGATGTAATAAACGCGATTAACATGGCTACACACCACCCAGACTGCAGAGTAAACTTGGCTCCCGCTATTGTTCACCGGAGCTGAGGCGTCACAAAGCTAAGTGAGGGTCCCTGATAGATGCCTGCCCTGCTCGGACCACCAGTCGAGGGGAGAAGAGGAGGGGTAGGTAAATGAAGCAGTAGTCCATGGGGGAGAGGGAGATGGAACAGATAAAGTTATAGTGAATCTAATAGGTAGGAGAGGATTGTGTATTTCCCATGTATTCAGAAGCACAGGTGTGGAGACAAGTGTTGTATGGATGCTTCCTCTTCGGGGTGGGGTGGAGAGTTGTATCTGTGGAGGAGGTCTTCTTCTCAAAATACTCAATTTTCAATTCCATTTAAGAGTTTTAGTCTGTATTTGTTTTGTACTTCACTGAAAAAGGGTCTTGTGTGGTAGGGAAGTCAAATTTTGTGCCGCAGAAGAAATGCTGTGATTTTCCAACTGGCTGAAACAAAATTATAATTTCAGTTGTACTAATAAATTCTGTTTAAACCACATCTCTGTGCACCTTTTCTGATAGGGTTTCTGCTTGTCTCCATGGTGATTATTTCTTTGCATGGGATATTCCACAGTATGGCATTAACGCTATCTATTTTACATTTATTTAATTACAGAAAAGCGTGCATTTTGTTGTGAAAGGCGTCGCCTCACAACACAGATCTGACTTGTAACTTGACCTCACGCATCTCCTGCTCTTCTTTATAGTAGATACATGCCAGAAAGGTTACATAGTGCAGCTTTAATGACCAGATTTGTTTAAGATTTAGTTACTGCAGGGGTGTCAAACCCAAATTCACAGAGGGCCAAACTTAAAACCCGGGACTAAGTTGTGAGCCAAACTAAATTTTTATTGAAAAATTTCAACAACATCTGCATGTTTTCTCTTCTTTCGAGATATGTAGTGTTAAACCTTTTCTTATTAAAATAAATGTTTAATAATAGTTTTGCTTAAACATTGAATCCAGAACAAGCATAATATAAAATAATAACAAAATTTTAAATAAATAATGTCTCTATAGCCTATCTGTAGCCGGCCGACCAGCTCTGATACATATTTGATATGATCTTGCGGGCCGAATATAATTATATCGCCAGCCAAATTTGGCCCCTGGGCCTGCGTTTGACATGTTTAAGTTATTGACTCATACAGAAATACAGACTTCTCTTTTTTTTGTTGCATGATTTAGATTCAAGACCACTGAGTACATTTAAATAGAATTGTATTGTTGACATTCTGCAGGATCTATAATCAAAATTATTTCTAAAATGTATTCATTCTTTGTAATAGTATTTTTGCATAATTGTGATATAACAAATTGGCTAATAAACACATTAACACATGAGTACAGCTTAGCAAAAATTTTATTCTAGTTTGGCTGGTAAATCTACATTATGCATCAGCACTAAAGTTTTGCACCTCAAAGCAGCCTGTCTGTATAATCCCTGGAGAACTTTGTGTGAACAGTTTTCCAAAGAAGCGACTTGCTGCAGGCTCTTATAAACAGAAGCAACAAGTCCTTGTCCCCTGGCGCAAAATAACAACAATAAAGTCTGTTCAAAGTATCTGTGCACCCCATTATAATTCCTGCGAGCTTGTGCATGTGCCAATGAACCCCGATAGCTTTACCGACACGGCTAGTATTGACCGTTTTCGCTTCATTGCTAAAGAAAAGGCTATAGGACACACACATACTATTTAGAGGAGTGTGAAGTGACAGATGAGAGTGCAAACATGCAAAGGGCTGGTCTCTCCACTTGTTGAAAGAGAAGAGAATTAGCTGAAACCTGAAGCAATGGAAACTCACTGAAACATGTTGCTATGCCAAAGCCCTATCAAGTGACCATTTTGAACTGGCACCAGGTTTTAACAGAAACTGACAGAAGTGGGCAGGTGAGCCAGAATTTGTACACAAGTATTGCAGTGTTATTTCACTTTAAAGGTACATTGTGTAACTTTTGTGGCGGAGGGTCCATCAAACGCTTTTCTCCATTGCTTTGTCTGGAATATTTCTTAGTATGATATTAAACCTTTATATCTTCATGGAGACCAAAGAATGCCTGTTTTTCTAGGTATTTTTGAGCTATAAAACCACCTATAATTGTAATATATGTAAGATATAAATGTAAGATATAGAGCTGTTTAATACAATACTGTGGAATATTCCAGGTTGAGCAATGACATATCCATAGAAACAAGAAGGTCATGAACTCTCCACCAGAAAAGTTACACTATTCAGTTTTTAAATGTTATTACTTAAGTAGATGTACAAAATAGAACCAGAAATAATTCGTCAAATAATAAAAAAGTTTGGAATGAAAATGTTTTAAAAGTGCACTGTGTAACTTTTCTGATGTAGGGTCTGCCACCTGCTTGTCTCCATAGAAATGATTGTTTTGCCCCAGATGTTACACAGTGTGGTTTTTACAGCTAAAAAATACCTTGAATTTACCTCTCCACAGATGTGATCTGTAACTTATTTGATTGTGCCACCTGTCTCCATGGAGTTTGGTACTTTTAATGTCACTCTGGAACATTCCAGGCAAAGCAATAACATCTCCATGGAGACAAGCTGGTACCTGAAAAGTTAAGCAACGCACCAATAAAATACTGTAGCAATCGGTAATAATGTAACTGTTAAAACCTTGTTCCAGTTTTTATAACAGTTTTTTAATGTGTTATGTTAAGTTCATGGCCGACGTGATTGGATGAAAGATGGGGGTGCTGGCTTGGGTTAAGAAGAGGGGTCAGCTGAGGTTTTTTTTTGGGTTCTAGAGATCATGTCCGAGTTTTGAGCAGGGACCTATTGGACTATTAACCTGATTGTATTGTAACCTGTTGAGTTCTCGCAATAAAGCTGCATCTTGTAAACTATTCCTCTATTCATTACCGAAGACGCCACAATATGATTTCAAAATTGTGTAACTGGACGGATAAAACATAGATAATGCATATTCAGAGATTTTGTTACTTTAAATCAAGGCAGGGACAAAGATATTGCATTTGAAAAGTGTGAAAAGTAAAATTTTCTTCTTTCATTGTGACTCCAGTACATGTAACTGTAGACTAGCCACATTTGATATCCTGCTGATAAGTGACATCTTAGAGACATTTAACCATTCAAAATATATTTATCATATTTACTATTGTTAACTGCTGTGGCGATGCTGTTCGTTTTTGGTCCCTTTGAAACCCATGGAACCATTTAGTGACACTACAATACA